GTCAAATCTATCCTTGTGGAACATGAAATGGAGACTATTATGCCACGTACTTTTTATGTAACGGAGCAAGACTACATTTCAGTACCAGATGGTTTATGACGGAGAAGTTGTACACACCAGATGAAGGGTAAGCAGTTCCCGATTATCAGCAATTCTGCGACAACTGGACACAAATTACAGGGATAACTGCAGTGTGGTTATTGGTACATTCATGGCGATACTGTCAAAACTGGGCTTACGTGGTGTTATCAAGGGTGCGAACCATGAGTGGTTTGTTCTTATTGAAGAAGCTGGATTGGGATCAAAGAACTTTGCCATGCCACAACGAATGAGAGACATGCTTGCAAGATTTAAGGATACTATTGGGCTTTCTGTCCTAGGAGAAGATCAATACGATGAAATGTTCCAGCGAGAAGACGGGTTCTTGTTATAAGTTATAAACGGTAGGGATATAGGGTAAATTAATCTTATATATAAAAACTTTTATTACTACAACTACCTTTCTGAGATTCGCATTGCACCTCGTACGTCATTCAAATGTCAGTCATTGAAAAAAGATCAAGCGTCCAATCAAATCACAGGCGACCCCGAAAATTAGGAGCCAACTTTTAAAATGTGAAGAACGCAAGGCGACTTTCATGTGCATGTACATGCGTTGACTGTATCCCGTCAATACAATACTATCTAGTCGAATACGTAGACTTCTACAGGGCCTTCTAAGTAATGCGCGCCGGGTATAATTCAAACCTCTGCCCCCATCGGTACCATTACCCCTAAAGCAAATCGTCTCCAGGAGACGAAATTGCAATTTTGAAGTTCAGAGTCATTTTCTTGTGGATCAAGTGTGCGATCTATTCAATCTAAGCCAGTTGGATGAAGTTTCAAGTTGGCAGCGTCAGCCTCGGCGTGGATTGACGGATCCACGTCGCACTCTCGGCGAGATGAGAAGTTTGAATGCTCGTAGGCCTCGTACTGTACCAGTACGTCAGGAACATCCACCACAATAAACGAACAATTCCCTTTGAGATGGTCATCAACCTGGTTCTTCTTGAAGGACAGATGTTGTTGATCCAGGCAGGAAGCCTAGTGAAGAATTAGTTAGTAAGATTTGTTATTAACAATTATGAGCTAAGTTCTTGGTGGATGTCCCTGGCTGGAGCACACAGGCCAGCTGGGGAGTGCTAACTCTAACAGCTTCTAACGGCTAGTAATTCATGCATTGCTGGCTTGCTGACATCATGATAGTGATTGGGGTCTGGGATCTGGACTGCCACTTAAAGACATAAGGGTCAGAGGTGCCAGATCAACACACCCTCACACTATCATGTGGCGTGAGTCGCGTCCATTACATTGCTTGTGTTGTGGTTGGAGGCATGTTGTTGTCGTGTAGGAATTTTGATCGCTCTGCCCTATGATGGGAGGCTGGGTGGTGCTTGGTGAAGTAATCTCCTTTGTTGGTGATGCCAGGGCGCCAATAAATGGTGAACTGGTCCTGTTCGATTCGGTCTCTGAGCCAGTAAAATCTCATGTCGATTGCTTTGGATCTCTTTTGCTTGACCATTCCCGTGAGGATACCCTCAGCGCACTTGTTGTCTGTTTGGATTGGTGTTGCTGGCTGGGGATGTCCCATTTCTATGAGTGTCTGTCTCATTGGACAGGCTTCTTGTGCGTTGTTGAATGCTGCGCCTACTTCTGCTTCGGCTGCAGAGCTGAGCACGTTTTTCATGATTTTCACAGATACATGAATGGCTCCATTGTGTGGGGCGTCGTCTTTATTTCCGTCGCTGAGGAAGAAGTAGCCTCCGGCTCGTGATCGAGCTTTCGGGGCTGAGAAGTAGGAGGCGTCGGAATGGAGGTGGAGGATCATGTTGCTTTTGTGGTACCGGAGCACTGCATCCGGATGCGTGGCCGCATAATTTAGGAGCATGACAGTTGCCTCGAGAGTTTTCTCCGTGCCTTGTGTCTGTTCTGCAGCTATATCGCCTAGCTAGTGCCATTAGCATGGTGCAGTCGACTGCTCGGGCGTAATATAATAGGACCCCCACTATGTCTTGGATGTGTTTGATGCCTGCTGGTGGCAGTGGTGGGGCGGCGTCTTCCGGTTCTGTGAACTGGATCGGTTGGCCGTACTGTGGTACATTCCACTTGTGTGGTGCGTGTTGTGGGCGGTCCTGGTGGACGTGGTTGAATCGTTGTAGTGCCCTCTTTACATATCCTGGCATGGACAGGTCGACGGTGCCCTCATCGTAATTCCATTTGAGGTAGATGCCGCAGTACAGCTCGCCTTGCCAATCTGTCGTGATATTGTAGGCTGCTGCTAGTGTATCGATGAGATGCTGTGCATGTTCTTTTCCTACATATTTGACTCCGAAGTCATCTACCACTAGAGTGAAGGCAACGGGGCGTTCGGCGTGCTTGAAAAGGCCATGTACATGTTTGGATTGGGTGTAGCCGTGCCCCTGTAGGTATGTGACTAGGGCTTCATTGGCGATGCGGCCAGCTTATGGTAGCCCATACATCCCTCTGTTGATTTCGACTAAGACGTAGCCGTTGTGTACCAGAGGATGTAGGTTGTATTGGTCCATTATTTCATCGGGGATGCAGTCAACTGGTATCCTCATGTACTCGGGTCTTTCCATCGGTGTCATGAGGTAGAAGTCCTTGATGTCGATTGACATGAACTTGGCATCGGGTGTGGAGATGACGCTGTTGAGATGCATCTTGACTGTGTTTAATGAAGCTGTTTTGGTGCTGACCTCGAAGGGGTATTCTATCTTGTCTCCTCCTACGGTGAATCGCACTCTACGGACTTCTGCTTTCTGTGGTCTATCGTCGCAGACGACTCGCAAGTAGGTTGCTTTGTGACCAGCAGGTAGGTCCGTGTGTTTGATGAATTGGATTGTTTCGGTGCCTTTTAGGTTCGTGGATTTGCGACCTTGTGCAAGTCATCGTATTTCATTGCAACAAGCGTTGATCCAATGATGGCCGTCAGAGGACTTCTTCAAGACTCTGTAGCCAGATAAGATGCCCGTGTCGGGGTTGAGGGCTTTGTTTGCTTGGTGCTTGTTGTTTGGGTTTGGCGGTGTGGATTGTTGTGGCGCCGCGGTTGGGCTTGGCTTTTTGCGTTGCCTACGTTGTTTGGCTGTAGATGTGTAAGTTGGGGCTTTGTTTGCCACCCTCAGAACTGAGCCAGGGTCTATAGTGTCCTCTGGTGGCTTGTTCTGCTCGTGATGTGACGTTAGTTCGGTGTGTAGTCATTTGTCGAAGATATGGGCCAAATCAAGAAGTGTGGCGGCTTCGCTTTCGGTTAGTGTTTGCGATGCTGGATTGGTGTTTGGCTTGGTGAGGGCAACTGCGATGTCTCGTACTCCGCTTATGGCCAAGTCGAGGGGTGTTGGCAGTGGCATTACTAGTCGCTCGGGGAACCATGCTGTCGTGTCTGCTTTTCGTTCCCTTTGAGTGTCCCAAATCCAAGTCCTAAAGCATCGATAAGCATCTAGCTCTGGTCCTATGTACCACCCGTCTTTGCCTTTAGGAGCCCATGATGCTCTCTCGTGTGGTTTCTCATGCACTACCACGTGAATTCCGGGTGGTGCTATGGGTGTTGCGGTGAAGTCGAACAAGCCGAATACCTGCGCATGTGCTGAGAGTTGTGGATTGATACGAGATCCTCTCAGTAGGTTGAGTGTGATGGTGCATTGTGGGATGAGTTTGTCCCACAAGTGTAGTGGGAAGTTGGTATCGGTGGTGCATAGTCCAGCTATGAGATGACTCTTGTAGGTTTGGATGGCGCGTTCCGCTGCATTGCGTCGGTGGATGCCGGCTGGTGTCGTTTGTATTGTCACTCCAGCGTCTTCAATGTGGTCACGGAGGAGTTGGGAGCATTCATTGTCCATCATGTGAAGTTTTGGGCGCAGCCCAGCTCTGACGAGACGGTTGTGGATGGTGGTCCAGGCTTTCACGTGTGCTTTGGCTGTTCTGTTTTGCATTGGTTCAGCATGGATGGAGTTGCTGTCATAGTGGTACAGGATGAACAAGTAGTTATTGCCGGTGCTGGATGGTATGAAGAATCGTCCAGTTTGATCGGAAAAGGACTTGCCGCTTGGTTGGATGCTTGCTGCATAGCATGCATGCTGTAGGCTGTGCATTGTCGTGTCTTCTGCTTCTGGGAAAGCGTCCATGTCTTCCGGTAGGAGTGGTAATGGCTCTGGTTCTGTTTTGGTTGATTGGATGCCTTGTCTCTGTTGGTTGAGGTGCCCCTTGATGGTGGCTATCGAATGTGGTGTGTGCTTATTAAATGCTGCCGATGTGAGTCCAGGTATGTGTATAATGTATTTCTTTTTCAGAGCTGTTTGCAGTGTGGACGGTACTGGTGAAAATAGGGCTGCATGAGCGAATGCGACTAAATCTGCAGGTGTTGCTGTTGGTGTGGTTGCCATTAGATTACCTTGTTCGTTCCGAGCCAGTTGGATCTCCCATAATTTGTTCGTTGTTGGTCCACGATTTCCTTTTAAGATGACGTCTCCCATGAAAGATATGAGGCACTCATGTGCTCAAAAGATGGCTTCGCAACCGGCATCGCATAGATTGCCTATTGATAAAAGTGAGGTTGTGCCGAGAGATGGAAAGAGATGTGCTTTGGTTGCCTTTCGTGGCAAGTTGGGGAGGTCTAAATGACAGGTGTGGGTTGAGAGGATTACCGAGTTATCGGGAAGTGTGACTCGAATTGGGTTAATCGCAAGTTCGATGTCTGTAATGTTTTCGTTGTTGATTGCTATAAAATCAGTAGAGAGGAAGTGTCCTGTGCTGCCTGTGTCGGCGACTAGCGGGCTTTCTTCCGGTATGCGTTCTGTGACGTCTAGTTGTGTTGTCGGGGGACCGTTCGTGGGTATTTGTTCTTTTAATTCCTTATCTATATTTAGTAGCTTTTTACTGGCTGCATTAGACTTTGGTTCTGTTGTTGTTTTCGGTAATACTTTTTTGAATGGCTCCCTTCGGTCTCAGGGTGGGCCTGTTGGCTGCTGGTTTTCATCGGTCTCTCTGGGCTGACGTTGCGGCTTGCGGTAGATGGGCCTTTCGCCATTGCGACGATGGATGACGCAGCAGCCTCCTAGCATGTTGCTTTGCACGGCTGCATCGTTGTGTCCAGGAAGCTTTCTGGTGCATGCCTTGCTCGTGTGTTTGTCATTAGGTCCCGAGCCGTGGGACCAGCAGTAGTACATGGGGTCTCCATGCTCGCTTGCTTTGTTGGCCATATCGATGTGGTTGGCGGTGTTGGGCTTTTCTACGGCCTTGTTTGCGTATCCCATCTCTTTGGTGGTGAGAACTTGACGCCTTTCTTTGTCAGCTGCCGTGAAGTGGGCTTCCATAATGGCCATTGATTCTTGGTCCGCGATAGGTTTCTTCCTCCAGTAACGGAGCGCGTCAATGAATACCCCACTGTTGGCTAAGTTCTTGATGGCCGCGCGAACGGCTAGCTTGTCCGTGATGGCATCGTGATCTGCCGCGGACTTTTGGGCGTCTTTGACTTGATTGTAGAGGTCCTCCAGTGGCTGAGTTGGGCTCCAGGGAGCTGCCATGCGGTCCATGTTGTCATTTAGGTGCGTCTTCCGGGTCCACTGTCCCATATGTGGTGTCTAAGTGGGTGAGGATGGCCAGGACGGTGACTTGGGCATAGCCGTACATTTCATTCTTCAATGTCTTGATGAAAGTGTCGGGGATGGCCTCGAGGAGTTGCTTTTGAAGGGCCGCCTCGGTGGCTCTGTAGACTAGGAACCTGGTTTCGGCGGCTGCGAACAAGCGGTTGGTTTCGGAGATCTGTGCTCCGGTTGGTGCTACTCCATGGACAGGTCCGGCTCCAGGATGGTCTGGATTGACCCAAGCTTGTGCATTAGGAAGTGCATTGTAGGCAGCAGCTGGTACCACCTGCACTACGCTAAAAGCTAGTGTAAAGATCTTTCGAGTGTTTTGAGTTTGAGAGAATGAAAGTTATGAGAGGATTAGAAAGCTATGAAAAACTAATCAACGAGAAGATAATCATCAAAGGATCGTAGATCTGAACTCCCGCGGGAGACTGTAGAGTGAGATAGAGTAGGTTGCGGTAGCAATCCTACTCACTCCACGATCCCAAAACGAACGCGTGGAAGATTCGTCTAGCATTTATTCTAGTAGCGTGGAAGTACTCCACGCTGGCTAAATATCTAGAGCGATGTTTCATCATCAACCTAGTATGACTAGAGCGGTCATTGAGAAATTCTGTCTCCAATGACTATTCGCGAAGGACTATGTCATGAGTCGAACTCAGACCCTACTAGGATCGAGTCGCGAATAAGGTGAAGAGCGTGTATTGCATTCGCCCCTGAACAAGGGTCACGGAAGGCACGACATAGTCGGACAAGGAGAACAATGAATTAAAGTGCGGGGCACTCTCCGGAGATTGGATGTAGACATGTGCTCGCACGATGGGAATCCTACAAGGGGATCAGGCCTTGTATGGGTGTAAATACCTTATGTTCCAAGTCTGGTAGACTGTGCCGCTATTGGCGGTATATGTCGGAGCCGTACAGTGCCATTGTTATTGACTCGGTCTGTGTGGTAAGGACCTTGTGCATTGGCTGACCGTATTAACGGTTCTGACACTATGAATCATCATAGTTTCGTTGACTGGTGTTTGATGAGGGACACGTGCCGGTTCTCCTTATCGGTGTTTTTCTGGATAAGTCGTTGGCGACGTTCCTTAATGTTATTTCCGGTTGCTTTGAAACGGATGTGGTGAGCTTGTCACGATTGACGCGCGCGAACTTGCGACGAAGTCAATGTTCATCCCGGAGAGTCTTCTCGACCTCTACGGGGATCACGTTCTCTGTCCATGACAACCGGTCATGGATACTGGGTAACCCACGTCTGTTCAGAACGATGGTTACTCCGTCTGCTGTCTTGGAGCACCCTTGGTAGTTCATTGGTCCAATGAGTCTACAGAAGTTACTTCCTGTTGGTAGGAAGAGCGATAGCTGGATCGCATTTGTTATCCTTTTAGTTAAGAGTTGGTTCCTTCTCGAGAAGTCCAATTGTCTAGATACTCCAGTTCTTTCCTATCGAGGAAGCCTTGGTTAGTGTTGATTTTCAATCCCGACTTCTTGGAGTCTTTGGAAAGGTCATCCTACTGTTCAACGCGATCTCGAGATCGACGTCCGTTGGGATGAGTTGATCATCAACGTATGCACGCGATTTTCTAAGTCATGCATGCGTGCTTTCATCTTCTTTGGAAGATGTCGGGACTATTCACATAGGCCCATTGGCAACCTTGGTACTCGTGCTTTCCCTTCGGGAGTGCAATGGTATAGTGTTGCTTCGAGTGAGGTGACAGCTCGATGTGGTAGTGTCCCGTGTTCAGGTCTAGACTGGTAGCGCACTTGAATCCACCTGGTTCAAGAGCATGTCTTGTATTTTTGGGATAGGATAAGGCTTCCGCTTGATCCGTTTGTTCGGTTCCCGAAATCCGAGATGAATCGTGCAGATCCCTCTTTCTTGGGAATGATAAAAGTTGGTGCCGCCCACTTGGAACGATTCACCTTCTTGAGTGCCCCTGTTTCGCAGAGACGTTCAACCTCCTTCTTAAGAGTGTTGGTATGGACCCGTGGAATGATGAGCCCTAGTGTAATAGGATTTACGTCGGACGAAGTTCTACTTCGTAGTCGTCCATTCGCAATCTCCCAAGTATCCTCGACTGGTCGAAGCACTTGGTTGAAAAGGCATGAGGCAGTTCTTGCTCCTCCTTGTTTAACGGATTTCGACTCTGGCATATCTGCCTTAAGCCTATTTGTTCGTATGTCGTATCAAGAATCTTCTTGAGACTATCTGCATTGTCGCTGACAGCCGCGGAATCGAAAATGGAGAAGTTCTCCTTTCTATTGGTGTTGCTTCTTTCGCCGGGAAAAATGCATGGTTCCACCCCAATGACATGGTAGTGAAATCAAACTTGATTCTTAGATCGCAGAGAGTGTCTTGACCTATGATCACGTCTTGCGCCCCAAGTTCTTGGTGACGTGTAATTCCACTTGATAATTCTATCATCGTGGAACTCAGGAATCGCGAGTGTGCCCTTACACTTCGTGCGGGGTTCAATTCCTTCATAGAAGCAGTCCGTAATGCTTGACGCCCCCATGATTCTTCATGAGTAAACCTTAGCATGAGTTTGAGCAATTAAAGTTTCGGATGCTTCTGTTCCAGTAAGCAACAGAGTGTAACGGGTTTTCGTTTCCCTTTCGCTCGTCTGTTAAATCTAACATAGACGATAGTTTCAAGGTCTCTTGTCGTGCGACGTTGACGAGTTGATGGCCATGGACGAAGTTAACGATGCTGAACAGATCGTCAGTGTCTAGTTGAGCAGTTACTAGGCAATTATCTAATTTGCCGTAGACTTCGTTAGTTGCAAACAAATCTTGTTTACTATTTAGTGAGATATCTTCATCACTTAGGTATGAGAAATCGGAACATGGTTCCGTTGAATCATCATCCTGGCCTAATCCTCAGACGGAGATCTCTCCATCCGAATGATTGAAGTCGAATTCGGCAAGCGCCTTTGTCGACAGCGGCCATCTTCTTGTCCATCATGTTGATGGATCCAACAGAGGAGTCGTCCTCGTTGTCGGAGTTGTCATGACTTGCGCTT